ACAAACACACTTGGGGCGCCTGGGCGGCTCCGGCTGGAAACTCCAAGACATTTTCAAGAGAAGTTAAAGAACCAAATCAATGCCTGCCCAACATTAGCGCATCAGTCTTTCCCAGAATGTATGTTAACACACAGACTGAAGGCCCTTGATGTTCCTGATGCAGCAGATCTAAGGTGGGGCCCAAGTATTTGTAGTTCTTGGTGCTGTGTGGAAGTGGAGGTGCTGTGGCTGCTGGTCGAAGGACCACAGTGTGAGAGCCACTGATCTGAATAAGTAGGGTGTATACCATATGTGAGGAGTCAAAACATTGGAAAATTCAGTTCTCAATTTGAGGAATTTCTGCGTAGTTCCCATGAGAGTCCCAGCAGAGGCGTGTGTGTGTGTGTGTGTGTGTGTGTGTGTGTGTGTGTGTGTGTGTCTGTGTCTGTGTGTGTGTGTAGCTGGGTGTAAGGAAACTGACAAGCTGACACTAAAATTTACATGGAAGTAAAAAGGGCCAAAAGAGCTGTCAGAGACCTAAAGAAGAACAGCAGAACTGTGGGGGGCTTTAAACTACCAGATCTTGAGACTTATAACAATTAAAACAATGGTTTAGGGGCTCCTGGGTGGCTCAGTCAGTTAAGCGACAGACTTGGGCTCAGAGTGGCTCAGTCAGTTAAGTGACAGACTTGGGCTCAGGTCTTGATCTCACTGTTCGTGAGTTCAAGCCCCATGTTGGGCTCTCTGCTGTCAGTACAGAGCCTGCTTTAGATCCTCTGTCTCCCTCTCCTTCTGTCCCTCCCCTGCTTTTGTGTACATGAATGTGCATGCATGCTTTATCTCTCAAAAATAAACAAACGTTTTAAAAAACAAAACAGTGTTTTAGTGGTACATGAGTAGACAAGTAGACAAACAGGTAAGAGAATTCATAAAAAGACGGACACATATACTATCATTTGGCTTATAACCAAGGGAATGGTATTTCTAAGGTCTGGTTCTGGAACAATTGGGTATCAATTTAGAAAACAGTGAGGGGCACCTGGGTGGCTCAGTCTGTTAAGCATCTGACTCTTGATTTCTGTTCTGGTCTTGATCTCATGGTTGTGAGTTCGAGCACCGCAGTGGGGCTGTGCACTGACAGTATGGAGCCTGCTTGGGATTCTCTCTCCTCCTCTCTCCTGCTTGCATATTCTTTCTCTCACTCTCTCTCTCTCAAAAATAAATTTAAAAACACTTAAAAAAGAAAGAAAACAATGACTCTTGACCTCACACCATACATAGAAGTTCATTCCAGATTAATTGTTGCACTGAATATGGAAGGTTAAAAATAATGCTTCTAAAATAAAACAAGTGAGTATCTTCATGACCATGGAGTTGCTAGTGGTTTCCTAAATAAGACACAAAAAGCTCTAACCATGAAACACTACACTACATTAAAATTAAGGACTAGTCATCACAAGACCACCCCACCCCCCCATTAAGAGAGAGAAAAGGGAAGCTGGTGAGTAGTGGCAGATACTTGCAATAAATATTTCCAATAAAAGATTTCTATTAGTATGTATAGTCCTGAAATTTATAAAAGACAACTTGATAGAAAAATAGGCAAAAGATTTGAACAGGCACTTCATAAGAGGATCGCCAGCTAATTATTACAGGAAAAAAAATGCCCACCACTGTTCATGTTCTTGGGAACGGACTGGAAATCAGAATGAGACTCTGGAGTATGCCTGCCGCACAGGGAGAGTAGGCGGGCATGCCTGTGGGAGTCACACTGGCACAAGCACTTTGGAGAACTTGGGTCTGTATCTACCATAACAGACACATATCTGTGACCCAGCACTTGTATATGGGTTTATATCTGGCAGGTGTTCTCCTGAGCCACGTTCTCCTCCATCTGCTGACCCACCCAATGCTGTGGCTTTCTCCCCAGAGACCTTCCATTCTGTCTGCCCACCAAACCCGGCTGCAGGCAGGTTCCTTTCCCGGAATCCTCCAGTCTTCAGGATCAAGCTAATATAGCCAAGCCGGGTGGAGAAATTCGCATGTATTCTTGAGTTAATCATATGAGTGCCTTAAACTAGAGACCCGTCTCTAAATCTGTGGAGCCCGCGGGCTCGGCAATGGGCTGGGAGTCAGGTGCTTTGGGCGGGCGGGCAGGCATTTGCTTAACCTCTCAGATCCCAGTGTGAAAAGCATTCCCCTGCACCACGTGGGTCAGCTCTTAACTGTGTTTGCTTCCACACCTTTTTTGTTGTTTTATCAAAGTTCGCACTCATAGAGGGTCAGGTGGTTTCAAAATGTTCTGAAAAGCACCTCTCCCCCAATTTCCTACTCACTAGAGGACACGACTTTTAACCCATTTGTTATTTGCCTTCTAGTCGACATTTTACTACATAGCCTCTCAGAATTTTATGTATGTGGGTATATATTAAGTATGCATAGACTTAAAAGACAACTCCATTTTCCTTCTGCATTTTATTTCACTTAGCATTATATGTTTTGAAAACACCATTTAAGATTCCTGTGTAATATTCTATCTGTGAATGTGCCTTGATTTGTTTAACCATACCCTTATTGTTGGACATATTTTTTAATGTTTATAGATTTATTTTGAGAGAGAGCAAGCGAGTAGAGGAGGTGCAGAGAGAGGGAGAGAGAGAATCCCAGGCAGGCTCCGTGCTGTTAGCAAAGAGCCTAATGCAGGGCTCGATCTCACAACCATGATATCATGACCAGAGCAGAAATCAAAGTGTCAGACGCTTAACCACCTGAGCCACCCAGGTGCCCCTGGACATTTTTGTTCTCTCGCTGTGAATATGTATATAATTAAAATATTGTGTGTGTGCATGTAGGTGTGTGTATGTGTGTGTGTTACTCTAGGTGACCGGGTATCTATGATACATGTATCTATGATACATGACTCTTCCCATAACCGTAGCTTTCAGTGGTTAATAACTGTTCGGGTTTTATGTGTTTGCTTTGTGCTCTCAGCCTCCTGGCTTGCTGTGCATTAGACTGGTTGTCGTCTGCACTGCTGATGTCCCAGGGATGTCACTAGTGTCCTGGGATCCCCTTCGGCTTTCTCTCATCTTCCCCTGGTCCCTGGCTCCTGCATCGTTTCTTGGTTTACTCCCTTGTCTCAGGGAAAACCGCAGTCTCCTACCACCCTGCAGAAGCTTCCTGAGAAAGGCATATGTGGGTGATGCACTGTGTAGACCTCCCATGTCTTAAAAGCATCTTTATTCTGCCATGACGTTAATTTGGTTAAGCACAGGATTCTAGCGCTCCGAATCTTGAAGGAGTCCTGACACTGCTTTCTGGCTTCCTGCCGAGAAGTCTGTTGCTGTTCTGATTCTTGGTCTTTTGTTTTGTGACCTGTTTATTCACTCTGGGGACCTTGCCCTTCTCTTGTCCTTCTGTGTCCTGAGATTTCACAGGGATGCCCCTCAGCGTAGGTCTGTTTCATTCTTGTTCGTTAGTTAGAATGATGCCCCCTTTCCATTCGGAAACTTGGGTCCCTCAGCCCAGGAGCCTCCCCTTGAATTATTTTACTTATTTATTTTGATACTTTCTTCCCCTCTAGTTTTCTGATTTATCTTTCTGGAGCTCTTGTTCTTTCAGACGTTGGCCTTCCCATACTTATCCTCTGATTTTCTTATCCTCCCTATTTTATTAAAATTTTTTTTGACTATTTGTTTCACTTTACTAGTTTCTCTACTTTATCTTGTAGGCTTTTATTTCGTTTTTCAGTTCTGTGGTCCGAGTGTTAATTTCTAAGAGCTCTGTTTTTTGTCTTGTGGGGTTTTTTTTTTATAGCATCATACTCTTGATGGATTTGGATTCAGCATCTCCTCAACCCTCTGAGATTATGGATGGTAATCTTGTTGGAATTGTCATCATTCTGCATAGTTTGTTTTTGTAACATAGTTTCTTTTCCTTTTTGTTTGTTTGGCTATGTCTTTCATGGTGAGACTCGGTGACCCTGAGGCATGGGTGCATATTTAAGAGGAGAACGTTGAGAAGCTGACCAGAAATCAGGGGTTTGTGGACTGTCCTGCCGTCTGTAGGGGCATCTGGCTGAGTCGGGGAGCCCACGGCATCGGCCCCTTCGTCCCTTGGACCTCCAGATACCCCCGGGAAGACTTCCGGGCTTCTGTCCAGGGGGACATCTGGTTGGGTTCCTTTACTCCCTGTTTTCATTGTGGTCCTTCACGTCAACTCTGCTTCAAATCCCTCTTTTACCTTCTTTTAAAGAAACATCTAGTTTTCTGCCAGGATGACCTCATTCCCGCTGAACCACTTCTGGCCTTTGCACTGTCCTCCTGGCCCCGCTCCCAGAACCGCTCGGCACCCCGGTACCTGAGCTGCGGGGGCGGGGGCCTCCCCGCACTCAGCAGGCTGGTCGCCGGCTTCCCGTGGCTGCTGAGACTCTGATTCCCTGGGTCCCCAGAGTCGGCTGCACCTGTCATGTGGCTGCCTCCCCTCCCACGCTCTGTCACTGTTGTCTCCCTTCCTATTCTTTTTTGTCTTTGTGGTTTGTGCCTTCAAACAAAAATGAATCCCGTTAATGTTTTCGTGAGGTTTCTGGAGGAAGAGGAGGTAAATATGTGCGTTCACGCCTCTGTGTTTGACCAGAGACGTCCCCCACTGCTATTCTGGGAAGACGTCTGAGAGCAGGAAGTTGAGAACAGCGTTCCTTCCCAAGGAGGTTTGAAGAATTCTTTTTCTGTCACTGACTCACTAGGAACCATAAGGCTGGAGTTATAACAGATGCTAAGACCCTTTATTTGCCGCAGCTTCTCGGCAGCGTTCTCTTTTCACGCAGGTACAACAGGGCGGACACAGGCACGGGGTGGTCAGTGGGGCCACTGAACGGCGGACTCTCCCCAACAGGGACTTTTAGAGGGACGTGGAGGCTGCCCAGGGCTCTGCAGAGCTCTCCACTCTGCCGTGGCTTTTCCCTTCAGCAAAACAACTGTTCGTTTTCTCCCTCCTGTCCCGTCCCCGCACCCGGTACGTAGGATGATGAGAGCCTCAAGTACCTGACGCACGAGGAAAAGGATGTCCTCCTGTTTTTTGAAGAGACTATTGACTCCCTGGAAGAGGACTTTGAGGAGCAAGTCCTGTGTGACAGCGGCGTGCATTCCCACTCTCCAGGGTCTCTGGATGAGAGCGCTTCCAGTCACTCGGAGCTGGGAGATGTCATCGATTTGGTGCAGCCAGCACCTGACGAGGGGGGGCCCGAGTGCCTCCCAGCTGGGGCTGAGGCGGCAGGTGAGGAGCGCGGCCCAATCCCCAGCCTCTGACTCGGTTCGTTAGTGTCATTCAGGACACGGTGGTCTTCCCCTGTGTGTGCAGTGTGGACACTGCATGTGCCAGTGTGGATGCTGTGTGTGCGTGTGCCAGTGTGGACTCTGCATGTGCAGTGTGGACACTGTGGGGGCTTTTGCAGGTTGGCAGCATGCTCTTGGTAGTTTTGAGTATCCAACCAAGTCGATGCTTTTGTAGCATATTAGGAGATAGCACATGAAGGGAAAGTTCAAAGGAACTAGAATAAAGATTGAGACTGGCTGACCATATGAATCTATTTCATATACAGTAAAACCTTGGTTTGCGAGCATAATCCATTCCAGAAACATGCTTGTAATCCAAAGCACTCATGTATCACAGTGAATTTCAAGAACCATTGGCTCAGTTGTGATCATGTGATGTTCTGCATCACGTACTACTGATATCAGTCTTGCTCATTTATCAACTTAAAATTTATTAGAAATGTTTGCTTATCTTGGGGTGCCTGGGGGGCTCAGTTAAGTGTCCGACTTCAGCTCAGGTCATGATCTCGCAGTTTGTGAGTTCGAGCCCCACATTGGGCTCTGTGCTGACAGCTCAGAGCCTGGAGCCTGCTTCAGATTCTCTGTCTCCCTCTCTGTCTCTGCTTCTCTCCTGCTCCCACTCTGTCTGTCTCTCTCAAAAATAAATAAAAAATTTTTTAAATTAAAAAAAAGTTTGCTCATCTTGTGGACCACTCACAGAACAAGTTGCTCACAATCCAAGGCTTTACTGTGTATTAAAAAGAAAGAAACTTGGAATTGACTTCCAGGTATAACAATTCATTCTACAAACAAAACATACAAGGTGCTGATATTTTAGCCTGTGAGGTTTGATCTCAGATTTTGAGCAATCTTGCACCCCACTTTCTATGGCATGACTTCACAAGGTGGGAGTATTTGGGCTGAAAAGTTAGCTGGTTCAGGAAAACAGGAAAAGAGCAGATGAGAGTTTGGCTCCGTGTCTGTTTGGCAGGTCTGCTGGATTCAGGGCGGCCTCAAAGGAGAGGTGTGCTTTTTCTCTTTCGAGTCCTGTGAGAAGAGCAGCGGGGTGGGTGAGGTGGGATTGTCTTGCACTGTTTATCCTGGTTGGGAAAGATGTTGGAAATAAACATAGGCAAGGGGATGAGGACTGGAAAGGAGAGAAAAACAGAAGGGAAAGTATTTTGGCTCTTACTACAAAATATTGCCATTTGTCAGAAGCGTCTAGAAATATTTTTTCTCCTTGTGTGTGTGTATGTGTGTGTATGTGTGAGGCTGTTCATTACACCGATTTCACATACTGGGGTTCTAGACTCCAGAGGAGGAGCTAAGTTTACAGCCATGTCTTCAAAGAAGAGACTTCATTACAGATGTCCTATTTTTTTTTAATGTTTTTTTTTCCTAGGAGAGAGAGAGAGACAGCGTGAGCAGGGGAGGGTCAGAGAGAGAGGGAGTCACAGACTCTGAAACAGGCTCCAGGCTCTGAGCTGGCAGTCAGCACAGAGCCCGACGCGGGGCTCGAACCCACGAACCATGAGATCATGACCTTGAGCCAAAGTCAGATGCTTAACCGACTAAGCCACCCAGGCGCCCCCAGAGGTCCCATTTTTATCACACTTATTTGAAGTGTCCTTCCTAAAATTCACTTGAACCTGCTGGTCCTTTAAAAATGCCAGATCATCAGCTTGTGCCAAGGACAACACTTAGGGAAAGAAAGCCGCCCTGCCTGTCAGTGTCTAACGTGATACTTTCACTGCGGTTTTAAGTGCCTGCTCCCGCAGGCCTTGGGTGAGATTTTGAGGATACAGAGATAAATGAAGACGCGGCGTACAGTTTTGTAGGGGGGAGACAGGTGCATGATTTTAAGTGCAAATAGTGTTGGGTGACCTGGGATCTGTATCTGTGGAGACAGGGGAGGGTGCCACCCATCTTTCCCGCCTCCATTTTCCCTGGGTGACACCCCCTCATAGGTGGGTTATTATTCCCTTCGAAGCCTGTGAGCGCGGTGTGCGTCCCAGGTCCTGAGCTTTCAGACCCGAGTCTTGCACCATCACTGATTGATTCCTTCTTGTCAAGTGGGGAGTGGGACTCACACAGGACCTTCTCCTTTACTGTTCCGGGTAGTTTAGGTGACAGGAGGTGCCGCCGCTGACACTGGAATTCTGTCCCCCACCGGGAGGCCCTCTTAAATTCAGCGAGAAGGAAATGGGATGCATTTATTTTTATGTAAGGTGGTAGCTTATGAGGACTCTACCTCCTTTTCAGGGGCTGGCCCTGACCTTGAATGCAGGAAGCCAGAAGCAGCCCAGGGCCCTCCGGCGCCAGACCCCGAGGCTCCAGAGGCCCCTCCTGTGCCGCCCTCCGGACCTGTGGCCACCCCGGAGGCAGCGCCGCCCAGGAGAGAGCTGCCGGCGCCAGGTCCCCCCGCAGAGCACCCCAAACTGCCCCGCTCCGTTCCCACCCCCTTGGTCATCGCTCAGAAAATGTCCGAGAGGTTGGCCGGAAGCGAAGCGCTTTCGCCCGCGTCGCCCACCAAGGAGGGCCGGCCCGGAGAATGGAGGACGCTGCCGCCGGCGGCCCCTCGGGCGGGGGACCACCCCCCGTGGCACAGACACCCGGCGCAGCCGGCGCCCAAGGCGCACCGCTTCCCCAGCAACATCAGCGTGACCAACAGCGCGGGGAAGGAGTTCAACAAGACCATCTCCAGGGCGGCGGTCAGCGTGCAGGAGCGCAAGGCCCGAGTGCTGGCCAACATCAACGGGGTCTCCTTCCTGACGCCGGGGGACCCCGAAGGCCGGGCCCCCGGGGAGGACCCCGCGGAGCCGGGGCGCGGCGGCTCTCCGGAGGGGGGGCGGCGCGGCCCGAGCAGGGCGGGCCCCGGCCAGGAAGCCGCGTGGGCGCCGCGCCCCGGAGGCGCGCAGACGGACCGGCCCCGGCCGCTGGCCAACGGCTTCCAGAGCATCCACGACGCCCTCAAGAGCGAGCCCGGTGCCTTTGTCTCGGCCGGAAAGACGGTCACCTTCCGCCCAGACCCGGCCCTCGCCAGCAAGCTCGCTCGCCAGAACGCCAGCAAGAGCTTTCACGAGCACCGGCCGCCGGACTGCGGCCCGGATGCGAGGAGGCGGTCCGGGTCGCTGCCCCGGGCTGTGGGCTTCAGACCCCAGGGCGTCACCGTCCAGTTCTCTGGCCGCGGCTCCACGGAGGAGGCCCGCCGGGAGGCCCTGCGGAAGCTCGGCCTCCTCAAGGAGAACTTGTGCTAGAGAGCGAGGCGCCTGGAGAGGCCGCAGGGCAGGGCCCGGCTGCCGCCGCGGTGCGTGTGCACGGAGCGGGCGGGGTGCGGAGCCACACGTGACCGGCGCCCGGGGCTCCGCGCCTCCGGGTCTGGGCCGAGGGACTGGGGACAGTAAGTGCCGCCTGAGCAGGAAGAGCCTTCGGTGAAAGACAGTCTGGCCCCATATCCTGTCTTCCTTTCCCCAGGAGTTCAGAGAGTAACACCCGAAATGCCCGAAATGCCCTCGTATCTTTTCAGGATTCCGAAGGAGGGGGATTCGGTCTGATTTGTTATTCTTCAGTCCCCAATCTTGACTTTTATCCCAAGGACGTGAGATGCAAGACAGTTTAGGTCTCTTACACCCAGTTATCTATGACAGGGATTTCCCCTTCCTTTTCTAACAAAATAAAAGCGAAATGCCTGTTTAGTTTTCATAGGGTCTTAAAATACTTCTCTGGGTCTTCTGTTTGGTTCTGAAGGACAAAGGATGGTGTGTTAGACCTAGATGTGCCCGTGTTTCTGGATAGAATGGTTTGCTCATTTGGGTGTTTTTTTTTTTTTAATTGAAAACTGAAATGAACCCTTTAGAGTATGATTTACTATAATTCTGAGTTCTGGGAGTGGACTGGAAAGGGTGGATTCGGAAAAGGTGTTAATTTTCAGAAACCAAGTCTGATCAGACTGCGGCGGGGAGGGGGGGCCCATGTCACTGGGGGATATGTGGATGAGCCTGTATTGTGTATATAGGTGTACATAACGTGTTTATAGAAGCCTGTGTGCGTGCACACACACACACAGGTACCTTATGTGCACACACATTCATTAGTGAACATACATACATAAACTTCTTAAAACCCCGTCAAGTGACTACAGGATGCAAGGTCAGGCCCTTCCGGTTCCCTTGACAGATGCTGTCGTCCCAGCTGTGATGAGTGACATCGAGATTGGCGCTTTGAAAAGGGCACATCGCCATAATCAGAGTGCTCCCAAGGAGAGTACTATCCCAAGTAGGCTTCCGGATAAGCAAGACAGTTCCTTCTTTAGTGAAGAACAGTTTTAAAAGATGTACCACCTAATTTTAACTTGCTTTCAGCTTTATCACCCAGTTTTAGTTCTGCATGTTCCAAGGCAGCTACTGAACAGAAAGAAGCAAACAAAAAAAAGCTTGAGACCCCTCGTGTTCCGGGAGCAAGATCGCAGGATTAGTTTTAAAGGGGGGGAAGCAACGAACTAGGTGACACGGTATGAAAAGAACTGTCTTCTCCCCGACTGTGTTTTACATGATGAGTTGTAGCCACAAGCATTATTATTAAAACTATTTAAGGCTGGAGTCTTAAGCCTCTAAAAATAGACTGGGAAGGGCCACGCTCTTAAGTCACACCCTTCTGTTATTCCGTCTCAGCCAGTGTCACAGAATCAGTCTCTTCCTGTTGAGTATTATTTAAATTCATACTTTTAAATGCGCTGTGAAGCCCGTCCTTTATAGTATTCAACTGCCTTATAGCAAGTTATATAAAATGTTACCAAAAAAGTTAACATAATTTTTTTTCCCCATAGAACTATAGTATTTAGTGTCTCATCCAGCCCGTGTCCTCCTGAAATAATTTTATAGATTCTTGATGGACTTAATTTAAATAGGTGCTTTGATTTTTCTTGGTTTTGAAAATAGTTTTTCTTGTTCTCCTATTTATCTTGGATTTGTTTGAAGAATTCTGGAAGGCTGTATTACCTTTCTACAAAGTGAACTGCCATATATAGTGTTTAAAATTAGAGGGTCTTGATTATGGCTGACATTTTAAGCATGCTTTAAATACGAGGAATATCTCTTTTCTGTTATCCTATGACTTCATTGTGATTAAGGTGAACTTGACTATATAGGAGTATATTTGTTCTCGTAATGGCATTTTTGGAAAAATAAATTTAGAGATTTAAGTATAAACAGCTTTGTTTTTGCATTTTATACTTATGCTCAATTATTTTAAGTGGTTACAATCTTTCTATTTATTCATAATTATACTGGCTCTTACTCTGGTCATATCTTGGGCCCCAAACCGTAGTAATTAAAGCCATGTTTTGTACGAGGCTCAAATTACAGCTGCTGATGAACTAACCTATCTGTTTGTACCACATTAACGAAAACATCTAGTTTGCAGAGAGGCAATAGTTTCTTTGCCATAACTACATGATACGACATTCACAAAGGGTCATCGTCAAGGGAACCGTAAGGACCACATTTCAAAACAAAATTGTAATGAAAAGAAAAGATGAATCTTAGGTGCCTAGTTGTTTTCTTTTCAAAGTGATACCTGTAAATCACTCTCCATTTTTATGAAACTTTATCTTCATACTTAAAATCAGGGGGGAGAAAATTCTTTGCTTTTTGGAGGGTAGGTACGCCTGACCAAACTGGAGCTCATCTGCGAACAGTAATACTTTGCAGTTACCAGAGTAACGGCGTCTGACTGGCCCCCTCCTCCCTGCTCCCCTGTGCTCGCTAATCCACACACAACTGACAGAAAGTTTGATCTCTGCTCTTCTCACCCAGCTCACATGGTCCTCTTACAAGAGGCACAGGGTGTCGCTGAGTCTCTCGAGGTGCCTACGGCAGCGTGTTGGGCCTGAGCCGGCTCCGGTGTAGGGTTCTGTGCGCAAGATTCCTCATGGGCGGCTCCCACATCGGCACCCCTTTTAAAGCCAGCTTTCATGGAGAGCTTAGCATAGCAGAGTTGATAAGTGAGGCCTCAAGGGACCCCTAGGTGAGGCAGTGGCTCTGCCGTCCAACCCCTTGGCCTTTTTATTTGTGCAAAAATCAGAAATGGGTGGCACCGGATAGCCCAGTCACTGAATGTCCGACTCTTGGTTTCAGCTCAGGGGTGATCTCCTGGTTTGTGGGTTCGAGCCCCGTGTAGGGCTCTGTGCTGACAGTGCAGACAGAGCCTCCTTGGGAATCTGTCTCCCTCTCTCTCTGCCCCTTCCCTGCTCTCTCTGTCTCTCAAAAATAACTTTTAAAAAAATGTTTTTTAAAATCAGAAATGTGTTCTCTTTGTTAAATTCCCACCGTTCTAGCTATGAGGACTTTGACCCCTCAGAGGATTTGGTGGTGATGTTTTTCATACAGGTGATCTAAAGAATCAGTTCTTCATATTTATTCAAGAGGAATGAAGAGAACGAAATAAGATAAATATGAAAACAATACACTCTTATCAAGAAACCCGTACCCGCCTTGCCATTTCCCTAGTTTCCCTAACGGAGGTAGCAGAATGAGGCCTTGTTTCTCTCCAAGTGGTTTTTATCGCCTGGGCGGGCAAGTCTTCATAAACTTTTCTCCCTCGACTCTCCCTTGGGTTCTTAAATGTTGGTCATCAGACCCCTGTGTTCCCTGAAGGCATGTAACTTGTTTTCCTGTTTTCCCCTGCTCCCCCTCCCGGTGACCCCCGCTGCCCGCCCCGGGGGCAGGAGGAAGGGGAGGCGTGTGAGGAATGCTCACCTGTGAAAGGTTCGTGTTGTCATTGAAATGACAAGCCACCAAACAGGTTCTGTTTGTTCTCTTCACAGCAAGGCTTTCTCTGGCTCTAAAGTATGGGAATGAGCTCGTGTCCTTTTCTAATCTCCTCGCTGGACAAGCCCTGCTCTCAGATACCTGAGAAAAGAGAAGGCAGGGCTGTGAGTCGCCGCGTCCTGGGAAGATGGGGACTCTGTAACAGAGGCCGCTGGCGCAGGAATGCGGCCACCTGCTGACCAGGCCCGCAGGGGCCACCCCTTTCCCCAGGAGCAGATACGCTGCTGGGGGGAAGTCTGTCCACCTGCTGGGAGAAGAATCCGGCAGCGGGATGGAGACCGGAGGGCACTTTCCAGCCCACACTTTTTAGCATAAAAATGGCCAGCCTTTGTGTGCGATGTTTCTAGTCCTTCTAAAATACCTATTGAGGGCGCCTGGGTGGCTCAATAGGTTAAGCATCTGACTTTGGCTCGGGCCATGATCTCATGGTTCATGAGTTCAAGCCCCACGTCGTCGGGCTCTGTGCTGACAGCTCGGAGCCTGGAGCCGCTTTGGATCCTGTGTCTCCCTCTCTCTCTGCCCCACCCAACTCACACTCTCTCTCTTTTAAAAAAAAAAAATAAATGTTAAAGTTATTTAAAATATCTATTTAAGAGGTGCCTAGGTGGCTCAGTTTGTTAAGCATCCGACTTTGGTTCAGGTCATGATCTCATGGTTCGTGGGTTCAAGCCCCGTGTCAGGGCTGTGCTGACAGCTCAGAGCCTGGAGCCTGCTTCAATTCAGATTCTGTGTCCCTCTCTCTTTGCCTCTCCTCCACTCATACTGTTTCTCACTGACTCAAAAATAAACATAAATATATATATATACATATATACATACATATTTTGATGGGAAAAAAAAGTAACAAAACTTCCCTACATATTCTGGATCCGTAACACCTACGAAATGCCAAGCACTGCTGTCAGCAGCAGGCTCACCTCTGTTCCTGGCTTGAGGGAGGCCAGTGCCGACCCCGGAGCCAGGCAGACAGACACCCGTCACGGCACCTGCCAGCCGGGCTCTGTAAAGATTGCTTCTTATCATCTAACCCGTATGAACGTTCATCCAACAATGAGCTAATGCAGGGGAAACATGGTGATTTCCGGAAATGACCCAGAAAACCAAAATGGCAAAAGGCCGTAAGAACCATAAATGGCCCTAAGGTGGGAGCAGGGTCCACCCATCCCAGAGAACCGTGTGATCCTGGGGCACCTCCCAGAGCTGCTTTCTGCCTCCCAGATTCCTTGGCAGTCCCGCAGGCCTGTCCGCCGTGGCCCCCACAGGCCCTTCTGCTTGGGGGGTGCGCCAGGACCTGGAGCAAAGCCGAGTCCGCAGGAATCCCCCCTGCCTCACTGGCTGAGTTCCAGGTAGCTTTTCCTGACTTCCTCTGCTTCGTCCAGCTCCGTGAAGCCTGCTTCTTCCCCAGCCGAACATGCTGGGGAACCGTTTCCAAGAGGAGACCCACCCCGGTTTTATGGAGGGCCTTGGGGTGTGCTCTCTGGGCGCTAGAGCTCCTAGCGTGGTGGCTTAGGTTCAGGATTCGGGTCACCGTCCTCCCATCCCGCCCCTGTCTGCAGTAAAGGCTGTGGCTGTGCCATCCAATCCCAGGCCAGAGGCAGGAATTCACATTTGGAAGCAGAGGTTAATGGAACGTAGTCCTTGATAAACACGTCACACTTCATAAACCAGCGTCCCCGCGTTTGTGTGTGAGGCACCGTGCCAAGGGTAATAACCTGACTTCTGGAAATGCCTTTAAGGGGTGGGGCTGAGAGGATGAGGAATCCGTGCATAAAGGCTGCGGAGAACAGGGAGCTCTATGTGCACACACACATGTATGCTTGCATGTGGGTGCACACTTGCATCTAGGTGATCAGTTGGTTGGTTTCTGTCCTTGGCACTTGCTGCTTGTTTCTGAGTGGTGTGCGCCCCTGGAGCGTTGGGGCGTGGGACGGGCCGCCAGAGGCTTGCCCTTGTTACCCAAGGTGCATTCGAGGGTCCGGGGTCCTAGTAGAATTACGTAAATCCTCATAGAGGCCACACGCTGACGAATTACTGGGATGGCAATGCTAGAAGGTTCTCTCCCGCTTCCCACTGGTCTTCCTGTTGTAGTTTCCTGGTCCAGGAGATAGGACAGAGTTTATCCTTCCACCTAGAACGGTGTCGAAGCATTGTGAATTTGGGGGAAATAACCTCTGCCTTGTGAAGACAATTTCAAAGAGGAGGAAAGTTCAGGAAGGGCCTCCCCAAGTTTTGCTGGGTTGGCTGGGGCACCTCAACCAGGCTCTTCCCAACTCACAGTCCATGTGTTTGTGAAACTTCTTGTAAGGCCCTTTATTTTTTAGTCCAACCTTAAAGACCAAATGAACGCAATTAAAATGTTAGTAATGTACAACGGTTGCCTGAGACTAATAATTTGTGAAGCTTGAACCAAGTGGTGCTGAGTACGACAGCATTCACGGATTCACTCAGCAGACCTCTGCGTCCTGTCCATATGCCAGGCACTGTGAGTGCTGCTAAATATTACCACCTATTCCTCATGGCTGCCTACCAGGGCGGGGGAGGGGTGATGACCCTTACAGACGAGAAAATGGGGGCTTCTCTCCTCTTCACCAGGGGCTCTGGGGGGGCTAGTAGGTCCATACGCTGTTTGCAGGGGGTGCAAACGCCCTGCTTTCTGCACCCTCTGGGAAGCTGCCCGAGCTGCTGCAGGCTGATGGCTGCCTGCCGTCCCTTCTCCCCAGTGTGGAAGGGACTAATCCTCCCCAGTGTCATTGAGATCACCATTTCATTTCTCCTCAACAGAGCCCTCTGGTCCTCCACGGAACCACTTTCCCTAGTGTTCCATCTGCCCCCCACCCCCCACCCCACTGGGGCTCGTCCCTGATTTGCAGCTGTGTATCCACTTATAGGACCTGAGGTAGGTATCTATAGGGGAAGAAGGGAAAGCAGGTGAAGACAGAGTCATTTCCACCATCAGGCTTGGTGGAAAGAGCCTTCCAGTGGGCTGGGCTGCGCAGAGCTGGAGAGAGGAATGGGATCGTGTCCCTGGCCTGAGAAAGCTGGGGTTCTCTGGGCTGCTACTTGTGACCTCTGCCTCAGGGGATCCAGTTCAAAGCAGGTCCTTTGGCTCCAGGCCTCCACTCCCGCCTTCAGGACTTGCTTCCGGAATCCGGAATTGCCAGTCGCAGTTTCCAACACAGCCATGTGCAGGACTCCCATGCACACACAGCACACGCAGCTACCGAGTTCAGCAGGGACACTGCCCAGTCTGCTCCTTGGCAGCCCTCTGAAGTTGTGGTTGTTACTAGAAAGGCAGCCAGGCTCCAGTGGAAAGTCCGGGACCCACTGCATGGAGCATCAGTGCCCCGAGCATGGCGAGGCAGAGCGACGGCCCACGCCTG